CTCATCTCACTGGTCAGTTCCAGCAAGCCTAGGCAGTGGGCACTATTAGTGTGCCCATTCTACAGATGGGCACATTGAGGAATGGAGAGGGTATGGAACTTGCTAGGGATACAAACCCAGACCTGCTGGACTCAGGATGTCCTGGTTGGCGCCTTACAGAGCAAGCCCATTCTGTGTGGGCGGAGAGTGAAGTCCAGGTATGAAAGCAGCTAAGATTGAAGCCCTGAAGATGAATCAGAGCCAACCTTGAAGGGATCCTTTGAGGATGGTGACAGCAAAGACCCAGATGCACACACCTCCTGGGTGGGTGGGTGTTATCAGAAACAGGGCAGCCAGGAGCAGAGGGATTTGGGAATGCTTCTTTAGAGAGGGGCGGGAGAACAGCCATGATGAATGAGGAGATCATGACATGTCTGTTTACTGAGTGAATGAAGGAAGGCCATCCCAGCACAGATTCTCACCCCATGGAAGGGACTTGGGTGTCTCCCAGGTCCTGGAGGCTGAGAGGAGGCTGAGCTTTTAACCTCCTCCCACTTCCAGTAGAGGAGGCTGTGGAGCCAGGAAGCTACACCTCTGACTAGGCAAGTTGTGGTCCAAGGCAAGTTGTACAAGCCAGTTTTCCTCATCTGTAAAATGACGCAGCACAGATTCTCACCCCATGGAAGGGACTTGGGTGTCTCCCAGGTCCTGGAGGCTGAGAGGAGGCTGAGCTTTTAACCTCCTCCCACTTCCAGTAGAGGAGGCTGTGGAGTCAGGCAGCTACACCTCTGACTAGGCAAGTTGTGGTCCGAGGCAAGTTGAACGAGCCTCAGTTTTCCTCATCTGTAAAATGACTTGCTATGAGGATTAAAGAGGCCAATGAGCACAAAAGTCCTCAACATTGCTTGTAGAACGCTGGATAAATGGTGCTTCTTATTGATATTATTAGTTGTGAGGCAAACTCATCCTTATATGAGTTTGCTAATTTGTACACAAAATTCATTCATCAAATATTTATGGAGCCTTTAAAACACTGAGTGGCCTGGCCAAATGCCATGAGGCACAGCACACAGGAAAATCTAGAACTGAATCTACTCTACCATGATCTTGCATGTGTTGTTCCCTCCACCTAGAGCAACACCTTCCTTCTTCTTAGCATCCCCTCATCTTCTGAGACCAAACAATTGGTGGTGGTGATATCAGGGCAAGCTTCCCAGAGGAAAAGAACACTGGATGCCTCCTCCCAGACTCCCTCAGCCCTTCCATTTCCTTCCCACTCTGACCCCACCAATATGAGGCCAGAAGTAGGGCTGGATTTTTGGAGCCAGGAACAGTGTCTAGCACATAGTAGGTGCTCAATTAATGCTTACTGAGTAAATATATGAATGACTGCATGAAGGAACCAGGTGGTCCTTGATATTTGCAGCCTCAGGACTCTGCTAAGACCTAGCAAGCGAATTGGTGGTGGTGGGAACAATGGATTCCACATAAAGAAAGAAATGAGAGGAGGCAGAGGCAAGGCGGTCTCCCATGTGTTGGTGTGAGGTAAGTAAGCTTGCATGTATGTAAGCTTGCATGTATATTTGCTTGTGTTGCCAGGGCAGGCAGGTGTGTGTACATGTGTGTGTGTGCATGCATGAAGGACATATGCTCATGTGCAGTATCTGAATGCAGGTGAGGGTCTGCATGTATGTGCTGGGGAAGAGGATGTGACTGTATGTGGAACATGCTAATATGTGTGAGCTTAGGTACGTGTGGGCTTGTAGGTGATGTGTCAGGTAGAAACACACGTTGGCGTGTATGTGTGATGCGGTTTTTTTCAGTGTGCAGATGATGTTTGATTGAGTTGTAAACTTGAAACCTGTATGTTTTTGTGAACCAATGTCACCCCAATAAGTTCAATAAAAATAAAAAGGGGAAAAATCTGTTTCAATTTCTGGGTTCAAATATGATCACAGAGAAGCATTTTAGTATGATGAGAAGTCTGGGTTTTTTCATTATTACTTTTAAATTTATTGTTGGCAGTATTACAGATTGTGTGATGCAGTTTTATGGCATGTGTATTTTTTTACTTGCATGCATGTACACACTCCTGTGAAGCTATATACATAAGCATGTTTCTGTATGCGTCATCATTCACCTGTGCAAAGGGGCTGCTTTGAGTGTCCAGGCAAGTGCTTTCATGTTTGTACACACATAGCTTGGCATGTGCTTATGTGTATACATATGTGTTTCTTAGAGATTTGGGATCCTAGCATGTATGTATGGGTACATACCTGTATTTTAGGGCATGAGCAGATTTTTATGAAACAGGGATATTGTGAACACACATCAAACACATGTGGATACGTGTGTGTACATATACAGACACACACTCATATTGCAGGGACCATGTCTGTGGAGTCAGACTGTGTCCTGTATACATGTATGTGCATGTGTTAACATGGGCATGTGAATGTGCACATTTGTCCATGTGTGCAGTCACAGGCATGTGGTTTTCATGGAGCCTTGCTGGATCCTGAGCCTTCCTGTGCACACAGGGCAAGTCTGGGTATGAAGGTGCCAGCTCATGTGTGCACAGGTATGGGTGCATGTGGGTGTCCCCTGCGTGGGTGGTCAGGTATTTCCTCAACTCCAAGGCTGAGCGCAGACCCATGGAAAGCCCTCCCAGCCCAGCTCCCCTGCTGTACTGTGTCCTCTCTCCTCCCATGCTCCCCTTCCACTCGCCAGGTCACCCCCACTGCGCCCAGCATTCCCCTCACTTGCCACTTCTCCCGGTTTCTCCCTCAGCCTCTCCCAGCATCATACTGCTCCCCTCACACCTCAGGACTGTCCCCAGCCTTGCCCCTCCCAGCGACCCCCCCCTCCACTCTGCTAGTGATGCCCTCCCAGTAAGTTCCCCAGTGTCGTCCAACACAATTCTTCCCCCAGACACCCATTTCAGGAAGCCTCACCCTTCTTCTGCTTACTGCCCCCTTCACACCACCCCCGCAGCCCAGCCTCCTGTTTGCGTCAGAGTTAAGGATGAGACGCTCCCCTCCCTAACCAGGCAAACCTTCCAGAAGAGCCCAGCTCGGAGGATGTGAGGCAGAGGTGGGAAGAGCAGAAAGTCAGCCAGGAACAACCGCAGAGGCTCCCCGCTCCAGTGCCAGCCCACCCCACGCCTCACCCCACTCCACGTCCCCTACGTGCAAGGCAACTTAGAAAAGGGAGGGGCCGGTAGGGGCCTCTAAGGCCTCTCTGTGGAAGTTGCATGGGGGGGGGGGGTTCCCTCCTCCTCTCCACTCCCCCAACTCCATAGGCCAAGAGCGGGATGAGTAGACTTTTGATCTTGTGGGCCCTTCTGCCATTTGTATTCATGTACATTTGTGTCTACTCTATTCTCTCCCACAGAACCATTGTGTGTGTATGTGCTTTGAACACAGTTTCAAGAGCACCCTGAACATCTGAATGGGGTTCCCTCTCGCACAAGGAGGCTCCTCTCATCTTCTTGTTCCACGGTGTCTCCCACCAGCAGCCCGATTGGAGCTTTTCATCAAAGAAACTGGATAACTGGGTTCCACTGAAATGTTTCTAGTTAAAGTATTAAATAAATGTGCTCAGAGGTGGTTTCTGTTATGAATGAGTAAGGGTCACCGCCCCCCCACATCACACACACACACACACACACACACACACACACACACTCTCTCTCTCCCCGCTGCCTAAGGGCTCCGGAAGCCTGGCATCTCAGACTTGGCTGACACACCTCTTCCCCCACCCCAGCTCCTGGAGGGAGTAGGGGTTGGGGAGGCGGACCCCCGTCCCAATACCCAAGGTCGAGACCCCCAGAAGCCTGGTGGCGCCCAAGGTCCCCCAAAGCCCGAGTTCTCAGCAGGGGAGCCCGGGACGCCTGGGTCCTGGAGGGCTGGCTCCCACCCCGCCCCAGCCCAGCCCTTGAGGTGGGGACCGCCTGGCCCCTCCCGCGTCCCTCCCTCCGCCAACCCGATGCAGAGCATAGCCTGGGCGTGGGCCTCGGTATACAGATGGCGTTCTGGCCCCAAAATAGCTTCACCCCACCTCTCTTTCCCTCCCTTATGCACAAAATGGATGAGGTGAGGCCGAGCCGGGAGGGGTGCAGGGGGGCACCGTACCTCCCAGAGGTCGGCTCCCTGCAGAGAAGGCCCTCCACGCGTGTTGAAGCGCTAGAGGGTCGCGGAGCCGGGAGGCCCTCAGCCCCTTCCCCCAGCCCCCAGTTCGGGAAGCCAGAGTTAACTGAAAAAGCGCCCCAGGATCCCAATCACGGACGGCTCAGGGCGTGGGAGGGGTCTCCCCGGCCCCTTCCCAGCCCTCTCCACAGCCAGGGCTGGGGGATTCCTAGAGCTCGCGGCTGCCCCAGGACTGAGCCCTCTTACCCACATCTCACGCTCCCAGGGGCGGAGACCCTCCTCTGCACTCCTCTTCCAGTTCCGAACTCAGCCCGCGTGGGTCTGGACCCGCCGCCCAGCCCACGGCACAGGACTCCTTCCTAGCGCCCCGCAGGGTCCATTCCAGCTCCCCAGGCCAGCCCCTTCCTCGGGGCCCCCTCATAGCCTGTCCTGCACAGACGCCCCGGTCTAGACCATCCCAGATGGAGCCCCAGATCCCTGCTGGCGCGCACACCGGCCTCCGCGTGCAGCCGTGGCCACGCGAC